GTACACTACAAAAACTTGATATTTATTATTGACAACCTTTGAATACACTGTAATGGCGTTATGTTGCTGTAATTAGTTTTTTTAAATTATCGTATCAAACCACAGTATGACTCAATTCAGTGTTTCGTGACTTCATTACAATCTTTCGGCTGTTATCAAGTGAAAATTATTTTGCAACGTAAATTTATAATAATTGGATAGAATTCTTCAATAGCTAATGTAAAGTAAGTTAAATGTATCGTTCCAGCTTTGAAGGGTAAGGGTACTGGTGAAATACAGGCACATGGGACTTGTCAACTTACGTTGCAGGGTGACGGGAGCAGTGGCAGTGCCTCTCAGATTTTTGCGATTTAAAGCTCTAAGTGGCACTGCAACCGTTATGGACGGGCGTGTCGCGTACCACCAGGTCCGGGTCTTGCTTGTCCCGGCACTTGACATCATAAAAAGTAAACGTTTATATGTTATTAAACTCAAAAGTTACAAAAAACCGAAAAAACCTTTTCGCATTTCGTTCTTGATATTACAATGTATTAGTTTGACACAGTAGATTTGTTGAATCTATTGTCGTCACAGAACGGTTTAACGTACAGACGGAGGTAGGGCTCCGCAGGGTGAACGCTGAACCCATCTGTTATTCGATGTCGAATTTCTTTTATTACGACCTTTTTATTCTTTAATCGTATACAGCATACGATATTCAATAATTAAGACCTTAATTGAGATATGAATTTTAATAAATTAAAATAAAATTAGTTTTAATTCGTGCCCCTATTGTACTTATAACAATTTTTATTAGCATTACTTCAAGCAATATATCTCAGCCATTTGCATCACACTGACCTTACAAGGATTGGTCCAATTTCAAGCCATACGTAACTCGACGCGATTCAACACGCGTGTCGATTGATCAACCGTAACTGCGCCGCTAGTGTTGTAACAATCGTATACTGACTATCTAAAGTCGATATTACCAACTAACGGTACGATTTACAACTTAAATCTACAAGGAGTCTCACACTGAGCGATAAAAGTTGTCTATAGATTCATCATTCGTACAGACCGACAAAATTCTTTAATAAAGTTATAATCTTAAGTAAGTTATAATTATAGATTAATTTTTGTAGCACTTCTTATCTTCTTATCTTATCTTCTCATATATCATTCTTATCTTACTTCTTTCACATCGACTTCCATGTGAAAGAGTACGTCCAGGGAAATACTGCCACCTTACCTATTTCTGCCACCAAGCAGTAATACGAGCATTACTGCGTTCCGGATTTGAAGGGTAAGGGTGCTAGTGAAATTACAGGCACATGAGACTTTCCAACTTATGTCTCAGGGCGACGGGCGCAGCGCCAGTACCCTTTGAGCGGTACTGCAACTGTTATGGACAGGCGTGAAGCTAACCACCAGGCGCACTAAACAACGTAAAATAAAAAAAATATGGAAATTATAAGTAGAAATGAGAGCTTTACGCAATATGTGCGGTAATAGTCTTAAGGACCGTTTATACGGGGCCAATCGACGAGCCATTCCATAAAACCAAGCCATTATTGGCGACGTGTAAATAAAGACAATCCACTAAATTAGAATGACTTCTAATTTTGCGGACCAATACCTTCCGCCACCACACGTGCATTGAATTAGCTTATATGGCCTTGTGTGAACGTGCATTCTGAGCCACTCCGCTAGTTTACCTTGCCGTTTAGTAAAGAATCTTAAAAACACTTATTGTAAAGCGCAGGCCACACCGCGAACGAAGCTAGCTAACTTAGCTCAGCTCACGTAGTATGTATGCAGTCAACTATGCCATCTAAGCTAACTTAGATTAATTCGCGTAGTTGCATACAAAATAAGAAAATACGTAGTCAGTAGTGACCATGGTTACGTGTGGAGGTGAAGGGCGGCAGAAGGGCGACATATTTTACATAGCTACCGGGATCGTTGGATTAGTTTAGTGAGCTCGGTTAGCTTATTTCGCGGTGTGAACCAATGTATGTGTAGCGGACCCAGTGGGTGCTAACAAAGAGTGAGCAAGACCAAAATAAATGTACTCACAGTTTATTAATGTGTTATGTGTATTACAAAATATTGTAACACATTTTTATACACAGAAACAAGTAAAGAAAAAACGACAAAAACAATCACATTTACATTTAGAATGAATATAAAACTAAACTTAAAAAGACTATATAAAATATATAAAAAAGAGATTTATAGCGACTGCTGCGACTCGCTACAGTATGAAAAGATGCCCCGGCTACGTGAGCTAAGTTAGCTTAGCTTCATTCACAGTGTACCCTGCGCATTATACTGGCTGTAGTTGTAGACGGACGTTGCGAATTTCGCACTTTTCACTAGACTGGCTTAATGGTTTGGCTTTATGGCATGGCTCGTCAATTAACTCTGTGTAAATGGGCCATTAGAGACAGAATGCCGAACAATGTAGTAAATTGTGATATGGTATAGTGACCAAGATAAAAAAGGGAATGCTTTGATGGTTTGGTCATGTAGATAGAATGAATGTTGGTAGACAGACGACACAAATTTATAGAGCGAATGTGGATGGAGGCGTAGAGAGGAGGTAGTCCTCGGCGTACACATCGCAATCAGATCGGGGGCGTCCTTAGAAAGGGTTAAAAGTACCAAAAATAAATAAACAAGCATGTATGAAAAGACTGATGGAAGTGGAGGAAGCGAAGGAAGTTTGTCAGGAGTGTAGAAGGTGAAGGTTCATAGACTACCCGGTGGGAGACAAGCGTGATGATATGTCTTCTTCTTCTTCCTGTCCTTATCCCACGCTAGGTGGGGTCGGCACAATATATATTTATCTTCCTCTGTCCCCTATCAGCCGTCATTTTTATACTCACACCTTTGTTATCCATGTCATCTTTCACACAATCCATCCATCTCTCTTTGGTCTTTCTTTCCTTTTATAGCGTGATGATATGTACTAGAGTGAAAACCTCGTACATGCGTTTTCACATAATTCGTTTTTACCGATATA